ACAATTAAAGTGCATTTTTTTAAGGAATAGTTAAACTGAGACACACCTTTGCTATAATTTCGAGCAAACAAAACAAATTTTTTAGGTGGTTATCTTCTTAAATTTGCACAGCGATTCGTCGCTGCAGGCGTTTACTTCTGCGTATTGGCTTTTGAAATACAGCTGATTTGATCGTCAAAGTGCATTTATTAAGCAAACCTTAGACTGAGACACACCTTTACTATAATTTCCAGCAAACAAATAATTGTTTTTAGGTGTTAATCTTGTTAAATTCTTGTTAAAGTCCTCTCGTGTACACTCCCGCGACCGCCATTTGGCAGCCCAACGATTTTGGCACACCGGTCCATATTTCCGGGTTCAGCCCACATTTCCGGGTGACGTGTAACAAACGCGACGCATCAGTGGTGATGCATAATTGATGCGATGTATATGGCGAAGCCACATATTTATAGATTTTTCCACTTTATTGGACAAATATGGACTGATGCAACTTATAGGGCGGAGTGACGTGTACGGCGGAAAATACGGTACTCCATTCATTAAATCATAAATTAACTCTTAAAAAAACCTCTAATAATTAATAATTATTGTCAAATTTAAGAAGAAATGTTGGTTAATTTGTTTGGAGTTTAGTACCTTTTTTGACCACCGGATGACAGTATAAGATGTTTTGAACCAAAGGATGGATAGTGAGGGAGCGAGCAGCTTGTCTCTTTAAGTAAAATGGGAGTAAGGCACCTTGACGTGACATGGGCTGTCTCCCTTTCCTTTTTCAGTTCTCAAAATGACAGACGCTCGGTGTGGTTTGAGCTCTTTAGCATAGCATTTTTCACGCAAAGCTTTTAATAAAAAAAATCTGTAAAAAAGTTCTCTGCTTCTTTTTGTAAGAGAAAAACAAGTTTTTACACGAAGGTACGGGTTTCAACCGTGATTTTTGGAGCTTCGACAAGACGGCGGTTTTTTCCCCGATGTCGGCCTGTTAGCTTAGCTCGTAGCTTAGCTTCTCCAATTAGCTGCTTTTAACGATCCAAAAACACGATTTTAGACTGTTAAAATGGATTTTAAAGAGAAAGGGAGGGGTCAGTGAAGAGCAACGCAGCCTTTTGTCATCCAGTGTCTTCAGTAGAAAGAGACACGAAGAAACGATAAAGCCGATAAATGAAAATGAGGTTGATAATTTTAATTTATCATGCTGATAAATTGATTTATTGTTTATTTCGACAGGCCTATTAATAATAATAATAATAATGTGTTATGTATCGTCATCATTGTATTTTCCCATACAGTGGCAAAATTGGCTCTCTGTATTTAACCCATCCACCACTAATAACTTGATGATCCCCAGGACTTTTGGGAAAATAGTTATGTGGACCAACAAAGCACAACTGGAACTTTTCTAAAGTGTCCATCCGGTTACATCTGGTGTAAAATTAACACTACATAAAAAATAAAATGAAATCTGGATAATTTAATTATCCTATCATCGTCTCTATAATCATATAAGCCACACAGAGAGGATCCAAGAAGATTTTCAACCCAGTTGTACTTGCAAGGTGGCAGCATTGAGAACGGGCTTACAAAGATGGTACATCAAAGCTCTGGTCACAAGGTCTGCCCACAGACGAAGAGTTGGGAAAAGCTTAAATACCTGTTATCAGACAGAGGCGAGGTCAAGACGACCTCTGCTTCACAGCTCACAGTTGTTGACGACGTCAGAAGTTATCAGCCTCCGCTCTGAGTAGACAAAAAGACTCTCTTGACTTCACGCACATTGTTCTACATTAATATAACATTAGTAAGTGAAAACATCCATGACCTTTACATAAGTTCCCCCAACAATGCCAACAGTCAAACACAGAGATGGGAGTGTGATGATCTGAGGCTGTTTTGCTACTTCACAACCTGGGCTTTCTGTGATTGACAGAACTATAAATTCTGCCTCTAACAGAAAATCTTGAAGAAAATATTTGTCCGTGGGTATATGACCTTAAGATCAAGTGCACTCAGCTTCTGCAGCAGGACAATGATTTGAAGCACAGCTGCAAAACTCATCTGCAGACATAAAGACTCATTCTCACTTATCAAGTTCAAGTTTGTCATTCTCATCACATGTGGTACATGAGGTGGAATGAAATTATGTACATAGGGTCCTAATTACACCCAACAATAGCAAAAAATATAAAGTGTAAAAAGAAACGGTATCTAAGGATCTAAGATATACATTTAAGATAAATGCTAAATGAATGCCAAACGGTACAAAAAAGATCTACACTTAACTCTAATGATGTAAAACAATACGGTGTGACAATAGCAGCAGGAACATCACAAACACCAAGCGTGCACAGCCAACTATTTAAGTTTAGGGAACAATTACAGTACTTATTATTCTCTTTGTGGACTTCACATCCGCCTTCAACACCATGATCACCCCAAACCCTGATGGACAAACTATCCACACTAGGACTAAGCCCCTCCATTTGCAACTGGGTACTAGACTTCTTAACAAACAGACCTCAGTTAGTGAGGATCCACAACTTCTCCTCCTCCACCATAACCCTCAGCACTGACTCTCCTCAGGGATGTGTGTTGAGCCCCCTCCTGTTTACTCTGCTCACGTATGATTGTGCAGCTACCCATCCAGGCTGTCGCATTGTAAAGTTTGCAGATGAGACCGCGGTGGTTGGATGCATCACAAACAATGATGAGTCCAGCTACAGGCAAGAGGTGGAACACCTGGAGAGCTGGTGCAAAGAGAATAACCTTCACATAAATGTGAAAAAGACAAAGGAGATGATTGTGGACTTCAGAAGAAACAAAAACACCTACACCCCCCTGAACATAAGAGGATCTGCGGTGGAAGTGGTCTCCAGCTACAAGTACTTGGGTGTACACATGAATGACAACCTCAGCTGGAGCAACAACACCACCAGCCTGATCAAGAAAGCTCATCAGAGACTCTACTTCCTCAGACGGCTGAGACGAGCTGGTCTGGAAAGCTCAGTCCTCACCTCCTTCTACAGGTGTGCAGTGGAGAGCATCCTGTGCTCCAGCATCGTGTGACATGGAGGCTGCACAGCTGCAGAAAGAAAAGCTCTGCAGAGAGTGGTGAAGGCTGCACAGAAGTCTGTCGGAGTCCGTCTCCCCACCATCACAGATATCTACACCTCCAGATGCAGGAAGAGAGCCACCTGCATCATGAAGGACCCCACTCACCCAGCACACACACTTTTTGCCCCGCTCCCCTCAGGAAGGAGGTTGAGGAGCATTAAGTGTAGAACCACTAGACTGAGGAACAGCTTCTACCCTGAGGCTGTTAGACTCATGAATCTCTAACTAGAATAACTGTGAAAAAAATCACATCATGTTGCTGCTGATCTGTTTCATGTTGCTGCTGATCTCTTCCAATGTTGATGTATTCATGCATGCTCATCTGCTTACACAGACTCATGTTCATGTTTGTGCTGATGTTCGACGTAATGTTTTTATGTTATTAGTGCTTAGTGTATATTTAGTTGATGTTTTTCTTAGTTCATATCTTAGATGTTATTACTCTTTTTCTTTTACATTTTATTGTTGGATGTAACTGGGACCCTGTGTACATAATTTCGCTCCACCACATGTACCACATGAGGTGCGAATGACAATAAAGAAACTCTGACTCTGACTTATTCATATTGGGCCAGGTCATTTGGATCGATTTTACCTTTACTAAATAAAATTATCATATAAAATCTTGATTTTGTACTTATTCAGATTTTCTTTGTCTGGTATTACCATTTGTAAGTGTAACAATAAAAGGAACAATTGTAAGATACCAAATTTTGTTTCACATCATTGCTTTTATTCTGTTTTTAACTTGTTTAAGGAATGTTTAATGAAATAAAAATCCATGTTTCCATCCTAGTAGATAAGGTTCACTGTCAGCTTCCTGATCAATACGTATGTCAATCTTAAACCTTACAGTTTGCCTGTAAAGCTCAGCTTGAGGATTTGAGAGCGAGTCAAGGTCACAGGGAGGTAGAGTGCTGAGATTTGGTCGCACATGTAGATAAGTACTCCACTGAAGTGGCAATAGCAATGACTGTAGTGACACAAAGCAGAGGTGAGGAAAATTGAATGTGAACAGATGGTGATATAGAACATTATAGCCTTTATTCAGGTGGACCAGTCAGTTCATCTCAGACATATTGATTGGCACAATTTACTCTCTTTACTCACAGGATTATGGCTCTGTAGAGTAATATAAAGGTTTCCTGACATGTCAATCAGCTGTCACTGCCAATTTCACGGAGCAGACTTGTCTCTGAAATAGGTTTGCCAACTCGCCCACAAGTCAGACAAGCTGGATGTCAATTACCAAGGGTTCTTGGAGGACAATTCCTTTTTTATTTTTATACTGATTCAGTGCACTTTCCAGCCTCGCCTATGCTTATGTAATTGTTTTTTGTTGTTGTTGTTGTTTTTTTACTGAATGCACTCACATTTTGTTCTTGGCCCCCTTCTATTAGTTGTTGTTTTTATAAAGCATATGATGATTATATGGGTTAGTGCAGCACTGTCTTGGAAGATGTGCTTCAGTTGACCCCTCTGTCTCTTTCTGACTTCTGAAAATGGCTCAATCGGCAATGAGTGTGCATGTTGGCAGTCCGGCGCCGTGGCACTGGATTTATTGTTGAATCCCTCCGTTTGGATGAGAGGTTCTGACCTTGCCCATCTTAGGCTGGGAGAGCCGATGCCTTACTACCCATGGGCTGTGGTGCAGTTATTAAAAACTCTATTACCACCATTTATGGGTAGACATAACTCACAGAGCGGATATAGAGATGTCAAAACAGAGATTGATCTCCGAAAAGAGTGTAACCCAGAGAAAACTTGGGAAAGGTGGAACAACTGCCAGAACTGAAATGCTGAGCTGGAAGCATCAGTCAGAACCTGAATAGATCTCTCAGCTATACATCTATCATACCCATTTTCAATAACCCCTTTCTGTCATTTCGTAGATCCTGAAGGAGTTAAAGGATGAGGAGTGGGACATGGGCAATATTGTCTACACGTTGACCAACAGGCGGTATGGAGAGAAATGCATAGCTTATGCAGAAAGTCATGATCAGGTACGCTTTTACCCATTGAAAGTGCGAACAGTCAGCATTTTCTCTGCCGTGCATAATGAAATATCACACACATTTTCAGGCTCTGGTTGGCGATAAGACCCTGGCCTTCTGGCTAATGGACAAAGAAATGTACACGAACATGAGCACCATGATTCCCATGTCGCCTATCATTGACCGCGGAATGCAGCTGCATAAGATGATCCGCCTCCTCACTCACAGTCTGGGCGGAGAGGGCTATCTGAACTTCATGGGTGAGTCATCACGGTTACATAAAGGATTTAGACCTAGAGATGATAAAAAAAAAGTATCTAATTTGAGAGATTGCTGTATTTGCAATTTTTATATCGCCAAAAGGTGAAGCAGTGTTTGTTTTTTTCTTTCTGTTTGTTTGCACCGTTGGCAAAATATCTCATGAAGCAGTGGATGGATTTGAATGAAACTCTCTGAAAGTTATAATTCGATGGACACCTTTTCATTCCCATTCAACATGGCTGTCACAACTAATTGACTTTAGCACTCGTTTCACATATTGAACTAAAATTTGCAATCATTATATTTGATAGTTATTCCAAAGACATAGCCTGTTTGTGTGACATTTTTTATTAAAACTTCTCCATTAACTATTTTTAACAACTGAATTTGTCTGTTAGCAAAATATCTTGTAAGCCACTGGACATATTTTTACAACACTTTCAGAAAGCATTCGGTGGATGTATGTCTACATCTGGTTGAATTTTAGAGTCACTCCACTGCAAGATGACCACCACAGCTAAGCAACATTAGCCAGCACAAAAACGACTATACCTTAGTCAATTTTATACAAACTGGGTTCAGACTTGGTGTGTTGGTAGCTGAGAGTCCCTTTTAATGAGTTCCCCATGCACTACACATTGCACAAGATTTTTTTTTTTGTTGAAATTTTATATTTTAACATTTGGCATCAACCCTGTTTGTCTGTTAACAAAATTTAGCTTGAAACTCTGGACCAATTTGAATGAAACTCTCAGAAAATAATTACTGGATGCACTTTTACAACTGGTTAAGATTTAGAGTCAACACTATACAAAATGGCCACTAGAGCTAATCAACAATAGCCAAAACACAAATGGCTATAACTCCATCGGTTTAACAGTTATCGATTTAAAATGACGTGTGGTATTAGCTGAGAGTCATCTCCAACATGTAGTCTGAGCATTACCACGCTGTGCAATATGTGACTGGTGGCCATTTGTTTGTTCATGTGACCTTAGTCTCTGAACTTCAGCAACACAGGCAGGTCAAAGTGTTTACAGAACTAGCAGGAAAGTTTTATTTTATTTTATTTACTACAGTGAATCTGATAAAAGCTGTTCAAGAAAATATTACTGAAAATGCCTGAATACATACCTTTTTAATGTAAGGCTGCTTCCTTTGCACACTCTAATACAGTAGAGTTCTCCTTGACCCAACTCAGTTTCCTTTTTTAATTCTTTATCCGAGTGTTGTGATGTCCTAGTAATATCTCTCTAGTATCTCGGCTCTGTATTGTATATCTGTATATATATTTACTGGATTGTGGAAAAAGACTTGAAAACTATCTGTAACCAGATAAATATTTGTCACCTCCATCAGCTGATGTTAAACTGTTTGCTGACAAATAAATGGTAACAAAATAATTGGCTGAAATAGTGCTGTGATATCTTGCTTTTAGAGTTAGATAAAAAGATAAGTAAAATAATATAACTTACAATTATAGCACTGATAATTAGATAAAAATCTAACAGGCCAGTTAGTTACAGTTCAGTTAAATAGTCATTTTCTGCATCATCTCAAGTCTTTCTGCATCATTTCTTTAATTCAGCCGTGCTGTTGTCTAAAAATACCACATACTTCTGTAATTCCTGTGTCATTAAAAATACTACACTATTTATCATGGTCAGTAAATAGCAGCATTATTTATTTATCTTAAATAATGCAAGTAAATAAAATCAATTCAGATCCATATCGTGGGATCCACTTTAAATGATTCCACAATTTAACCATTTGCCCTCAGGCAGGCGTTTGTCTCCGGCAGAGACAGCAACTCTCTAACTGTTCAATGAATATATAGAAAAATACATTCACTCTCCTGGATTTCACTGGAAACCAGTCTGTGTAAAACAAGTTGTTGTGAAGACATCAAGCAGAAACTATCTGTAGGATGAATATCTCATTGGCATCAAGGTTATCCCTAATGGCATCTTTTTTCACTTTTGTAGGTATTCCTTTTTCTGTAATGTCATTTGCATGTATGTCAAAGTTTTTTGTTTTCTGTTGGAGCTAGTGGTGAAAACAGAATTATATATACAAAGGTGTGTTTGCATATGCAAAAAAAAAAAAATGCAACTTGTGGAAAACCCAATTCAACATATGCAGAACGTTTACAGTGGCAGCACGATGGATTAGTGGTTAGCACCGTTGCTTCACAACAAGAAGAACCAATTACTGGTATGAACCCGAGGTCTTTCTGTGTGCCGTTTGTATGTTCTCCTCGTGTTTGTGTGGGTTTTCTCCGGGTACTCCGGTATCCTCCCGCTGTCTAAAAACATGCACGTTAGGCTGCCTTCAGGCTCAGGCCTCCTTTAGTGTATATCATAGATCTGTTAGCGTATCGTTGGACGTTCGTTTAGCGTATATCTTAGCTGTTTAATATACTGTATTATTTTACATTATTAGTGTTTTGCGTAACCTCCAAATCTGAGGTCCTGAACCAGAAAAGGGTGGATTGCTCTCTACAGGTCGAGGTTCTGCCTCAAGTGGAGGTGATAATAGTCATCATTAACTACGTACAGCGGGAAGTTGACCCCGTCTGAAAGGAGCGCGTTTCTTCACGTTTCCATGTAAACGTGGATCCACAGCATTTTAGCTCCACCTGCTGACTCGGCTCTCTGGTCAAACTCAGTCTCTAAACAATCAAAATGTCTCTGCCTGATGCTCAGTATCACTCAGTGATCATCATGACAGCGAGTCTTACTCTAAGTATTTCTGCTAAGTGAGTCAATGCGGGCGGGGTGGGGGGTGGGGGGGGGTATAAGCACAATCAAAACCGCTTCTCTCGACGGACAGTCATAACTGGACAGCTTTAATGATTAGAATGTCAGTGAATTGACCCCATGTGGGTAGCTGAAGGACAGTTGATAGTAATTATATCTGATTCTCTAGCTAAAGCGTAGCTGAAAGGCACTTTTCTGCTGCACTCTTGGTGCCTTCACTCCCCCACAGATTTCTTTGCTGTGTTCATTTTGCAACCAGTCATTACAGCTCAGGAATTATGGGGAGATGATGAGTAGAAAACAATTTCTTAAACGCTGAATTGACAGTAATATTGTTTATTCCACTTGGTTTCAGTTAAAAAATAAAAAATAGTGTCTGTACTCTTGCTGCCTACTGTCAGCGTAACCTGGAGGCGTTTTTAACATTTTTGATGACTAAATACATTCATTTTTAGTTGAGTAAAGACCATTTGGGAGGGTCTTGTTTCTGATGTGTGAATTTGAAACAACCTGAGAGGGTCCTAAAAAAAATTGGTGTAACTATTTTTTGTTGATTCAAATGTCTCTTTCTGGTTAGGAAAAAAATAGTATTGAAGTATGAATTTATATTTGTACATTTTGCTCACATTAATTACCCATTTCATGCTGCTATTCTTTTATTTTATTTTTTGCCTGCTGCTTAAGGTGAAAAGGCAATTATGCTTTTGCCTCTGTCTCTGTGTGGGTTCTTTAGTCCCATCAACAAAATTCAAAATCCACTGGTTGGATGTTTGTGGTAGTACATCTACAGCTGGATAACCTTTAGACCCAATTCAAGTGGGCTGCCAGCTAACTGACCTTATAGGAACACAAAAATGGCTATAACCCACACAAGATTTCACAAAATCACCAGACTACAAATTACATAAGGTTTGCTTAGTTTTTGTGTAAATTTCTGATAAGGGAGGTGGTAAGTGATACGTGTTCCTTCAGGGAATGGTCGGCATTTAATGTACATTGAACGTATCAACCAAACTTTCACGCTAAATGTTGGAAAAATCTGCCGTACCGGTCAATTATTGAAAAAGGTAACAACCTTGTTCAATAAATCAAGGTTAAGATGTAACTGCTAATGTGAAAAGGCGTAAAACTTTTTCAAGTAAATTAAACTTGTTTTTATTTGTGTGTGGGTGAGTTAATCAAAGGCAAAGAAATGTTTCATAAAAAATGAGTTTAGTCATGAGATGGTTGGTCTGAAAGACAAAAACACTTCACAGAGGTGACTTTGCGTCTCGTTTCTTGCCTGATTAATTTTAGGTCACTAAACGTTTGGACCCAAAAGCACCTTAATGACCCAAAACAAACAAAAAAACACTGCAATCACCATTTTGATTGTTTATTTGTGCTGCTGATCTCATGCTGCTGATTTATTTCATTCTGCTGGATTCATTCGTACTCATCTGCTCACACAGACTCAGGTTTGTGCTGCTGTTTTTCGGCCTATTGTTTTTGCATTATTAAATGTTTAGTGCATTCTTAGTTTAGCATATTTCTTAGTTCATATCTTAGATCTTATTACCGTTTTTCTTTTACAATTTATACTTTTGCTGTTGCTGGATGCAACCGGGACCCTGTGTACACATTTTTATTCCACCTCATGTACCACATGTGAATCGAATGACAATAAAGAACCTTGACTTTAGTCATAAATAAAAATCTGTTTTTGTCTAATTAAAACAACAGCGTGTCAGTCTTTTTGTTACCATGTTTTCGAGTTATTTAGTGACCTAATCAAATTTTCATTAGGAAAAAAGACGATTCCTATATTTGGTTACCAGTAAAAAAAAAAGTGCTTTAAGCCAATATTCACTTATAGACCAACATAAAATACATTTTTATGATTTCTCCCAAAATACTGTATCTGCTTTTATCATGTCTAACTTCAGCTCAACTTAAGAAGGAACATTTACCCTGTCCAGTTGTTATACCCCCTTTTTTTATTCTGCCCTGTGTCCGTCCATTACCTCTGTTTAAAAACGTTAATGTTCCTAAGAGGAGTTGTATTTTAAATCTTACCTTTTCTTTAAATTTTAATGACATTTCTCTTTTTACTTGTTCTGTCTCTATTGGTTTTAAAGTATTGAGTGTGGTTAATTAAGCTATTTTTAAAAAAAAACAACTAATACTACATCCTTTAAAATCTGGCTTCTTTTTTTTTTCAGTTTGCGAAGCAGCCCAAAGAGGCCTTATAACTTCACTTC